GAGAGATGAGCGTTTACGCGGGGTAGTGCGAGTTTTGCCAACCTACAGGTCTCCAAGGTGTGCCAGTATTGTTGGTGTAGTTTACCTGAGTGGTCTCGTATCTTACCAATTAACCAGCTTACCGGGACAGGGATTATCGACTCGGAGCCCATTGGTGTTGCGTCTGATCCCCTGCGTGCCAGTTCATCAGCTGCATCGTTCCCACGTGATCCACTGTGTCCTTTTATCCATTGGATAGTGATTGTATTCTGTAATCCTACCATGTTTAGAACCTGGTGACACTCATATAGATAAGACTCGATCTGACAGAGCTGCCTTTGAGAGCTTGTAAAACGGATTTGCTGTCCGAGTAGATCCGGATTATTGATCCTGTTACCTTCCTTGTTGTTATCGTTCTCACCACCATGGTAATCGCTATACACTCAGCCTGAAAGACTGTATTGTATGAGCTGAGAGGCAGGAAGAGGCGTATGTTAAGGTCCTCGGAGAAAACTCCGGCGCCTGCTCCTGATGCGGTTTTGGAGCCATCCGTGAAGACTGTGAGTGCCTTGTGCATTACCTTTGGATTGTCAGTGTTCATAAGATGTATCTTGCATTTCTTATCGAAAATGAAGGCGGGTTGGATTCTGTCAAACGCCGCTTCTACAAGTGGGGTTATGAGCCATTCCTTCAGTAAGCCATTGAGATATTTGGTGGTCTCGAACCTTACCAGTTTGTAGTTTTTTAGTCTCAATGCTGTCTTTGCCGCTTCCTGTCTAATGTAGAAGTGTAGCGGTGTAATATTTAACATTAACTCCAACGCTGCCGAGGGAGCCGTGCTTATGCATCCTGATAGGGAGCAGCATGCCTGCCGCTGGAAGCTTTGTAGTTTGTTTTCACATATAGACTGAGTAGTTTTTTTTTGACGCTGAGTAATGCGTTACGGATATCCTCTTCCCCTGGGCGCAAGGGTTCACGGGTTATGTGGGACTCTCCCTGTGGATCTACTCTAAGAAGAACCAGTCAAGAAACAGGACCTATCCACTATAACTCAGCGATGTACCTCGGGTTGATGGCGATGGAACGGGATCAGCTAGTATGGCCATTACGCCGCGCTGGTTCGCCCCCTTTAACCCACACCGAAGGGCGAGTTCTCTTACCGAGTTGGGCATGTATCTCAGGCACACAAGAGACACACACCCCAGACAGGTTAGGGACACTAGGCAGACGGGTGCGCGAACCCGCCGACTGCCCCTATTAAAGATAAGAAATGCGCGATTGAGCATTACCAGTCCTCGCAGTCCAGTTGGAGGAACTCACAAGTGAATCCCTCCCCCCGTATGTCTCAATTTCACAGGTGGCCTCCGAGGGGGGAAGCGCTATCAGTCCTCAACACCGGTTTCTGACCCTCAACTTTGTGACCCTGTCAACTGGACCACAAAGGGAACTCCCTTCACCTGCTTTCGCAGGCCGACTCCATGCATTCCTCTCACTAACTGTCAATCACAGGCCCGCCCAGCAGACGTATCCCTGCAGAGAAACCAGGTCGACAGTTAACCGTTACGGATGTCCACCTTCCGACAGATGAATACGGCCTCTGCGAATGTCCATTCTATCGGTAACAAGGCTCATCATCCATAACGCACGAGTTCCCCGAGGCACAGGGAGTTTGACCGACATGTGAAGGATTCTACTAGGCCGATATCAAGGTAAATCTCTCAATCGTACCGTCGCAGATCCCCACACAAAATCTCAGTTAGTCGGCGTCCAGTCTAACCATAGCTCCCGAAGGGGCGCTATTAGACCTTAAAATCGCCTAATTGACTACCAGTCATGAAAACCATAATCAGCGCACCTCAAGTTGGGGAGATCTAAATTAATAAATGTCGCCTTCCAGGAAATCCTCTCAAGCCCTCTCAGTAAGATCTCCCCCTCCTTTGATTAGTAGTCTCTTTCACAATATCAACAGGTCCCGTCACTGTTAGCCCCTCTGGCATGTCGCAACCGGAGCTAGATATTGTAATTAAGACCACTCCCTCATGAGCAGACTCACTCATAGTCTCACCAGGTTCAGCCACCATCAAGCCTCTCTGGTAAGGTAAGCAAACCAAGAGTCCATAACCGAGTCCATTCCCACTAATAAGTCGTCATCGGAACATAAAAATCCGAGGCTACTCCCACACCTGGGCTATTATCCACGGAACACAAAACTCGGAGGGGACAATTCAAAACCGACTGCAGCTCCACCAGCGTCAGGCCGACCAACACCCTTAAAAGGGTGTTGACAGGCCTCATTCGCTGGTTTCATTGCCCCTCACTGAGCAGGCTTAATCATAGACTCGCCAGTTTCAGTCACCATCAAGCCCGTCTAGTAAGGCAACTAATATAAGAGTCCATAACCGAGTACACTCCCACTAATAAGTCACCATCGAACATAAAAATCCAAGACTACTCCCACTGCTGAGCTGTCATCTTTGGCATACAAAACTCCAAGAGGACAACTCAAAATTGAGCGGGCTCAGTCATAGTTTCAACAGGCTTAGTCACCATTAAGCCTGTCTGGCAAGGTAACCAAACCAAGAGTCCATAACCGAGTCCACTCCCACCAATAAGTCGCCATCGGAATATAAAAAATCTGAGACAACTTCGTTCCAGTTTAGTTTACTGTCGAGAATTATGCCTAGGTACTTTACCTCCTTGAACAGTTGTAGTGTGGTGCCGAATAGCTTCGGTAGGCAGTACGTGCCTACTTTGCGTTTGGTTGTAAATATTACCAGTTCCGTTTTCACACTAGCGTTCGACTTGTTTCAAGGCAGCTTGCATGATGTTACAGGTTATACCAGCGTGGGTGACTAAAGTTAGTATTGTAATGTCATCGGCATACCCTATGGTGTAGAAATGACTAGCGTTCAGGCGGGTAATCAGATCGCTGACCACCAGGTGCCACAGTAGCGGTGAGAGTACTCCCCCTTGAGGGCATCCTCGCGCGATTAGTGCTCCTGTACTGTCCTCACCTGCTACTCATACTATCATGTTGCGTAGCATATTCATGATCCAGTCTATAATTTGTGGCTCAGCTCCATGACTTTTAAGACCCTCTACAATGCTGGTGAAGTTAGTTCTATCGAAGGCGCCCTCAATGTCAATGAAAGTGCCCAGACAGATGAGTTTATTGTGAAAGGCCATTTCTATCTTACCGACTAGTTGATGGAGAGCTGATTCTGTAGATTTGCCCGTTGTGTAAGCATGTTGATGTTTATGTATCGGAGCAGTACTCAGTGCACCGCTCCGTATATATCTGTCGCATAGTCTTTCTAGAATCTTGAGTAGGAAAGATGTTAGACTGATGGGGCAGTAACAGTACAATAACAGGCAAATTGGTGCAATAACAGTACTGTTATTTGTTAAATAGGGCCTGGAAACCGCCGGTAACTATTTCATCAAACTGAAATAAAGGTGTTGTTTTAAAAATAAAAGTACTCAAAATAATGTTACTTAATGGTAGTAGCTCGAAATATTTCAGTCCATTCTTAACCCTAAGGAACAATGACAATCGATCAAAGACAGTAATTTTATTTCTATAAGTATAACACTTTATCAAAACTTAATATTGGAGGTTCAATGAAATAAAAATAAATTTAGAGAAGTTAGATATTAAAATAAAAATACTTTCGTGCGTGTTTTGTTTGTTTTCTTCAGCATAACCTTTGACCATTATTAATTTCCATTGGTTTATTGTGCAAGTTTAAAATTTGCAGAAATTTGATGTGCTTCCTGGAAAAAAAAATAGTACCAAAGTATTAACTATTTTTCTTTTTTAAAGATTACTTTTATATACCTTGTTGACACAAAAATGTGAGTTTTTTAGATTTGAATAAAGGAGATAAATACATTAAGTATGAGCTACTTAAGTAAGTATGTCTTTACAAGTTTAAATATAAAGTAATGTATTATTCTCCCGATTCGATTCGAGATTTGTGAAATAAGATACGAATTATCACACACCAAAGAGATTTATAATGATCATTCATCGCTAATGTCTTGCGCATCGTGAACTGTCCATTACAATTCAAACATATTATATTGTACCCGGAAGTATAAATCAATTTTAGGCCATATAGCTACAGCTTTTTAGATAGAAAGTAGTCTATATGTTAATCTAGCCACGCTGAGAATTATGTGTAGCTATACCGACCAAATATCATCAAAATCCGTTTAGTAGTTTTTGCGTGAAGACGTAACAAACATACAAACATTTGTCTTTATAATATAAGATATTTACTGAATATTAACAATACTAAACCATTCATAAGAAACGATATCTGCACTGCACTGATAAAAAAATTATCCTTTATTTCTATTATATGTTTGATGATCAATAAAATATATAAATATTTTATTTGTTCTTATCTTATTATCGCAATGAAACATTTTTTTTGCGATACAATTTCTTTGCGATATTAAGATTATTTTCACTTGTAGATATTTGATGATGAGATGAGATAGCCTCATATTGTAGATATTTGAAATGAATTGAGAATTATCAAATATTTCCCAAATTAAGATGAAAAATTTGCAGCTATCCGAATTTTGGAGTGATACATTCTTTGAGGATTTTAATTGTGAAGAGGTTTCGTTGCGTAACTAAAATGATTCAACAGGTTTGTTAAAATTTTGAAATGGAAAATTAATAAACGTTACGCAAAAAGTTTAACTACCTATATGATTACTAATTTTACAATATTCATCCTCCTAACCTTCTTTTGTATTTGTGAGTTTCAATCTTGGACTCGATTTCGTTAGGTTTTGACGAAAAAGTTCATACCTAGTTAGCTTATATGGAGCGGTCGTTGCCCAAGACCTGAGCTGTTTACAAATTTTTTATTTAGTGTCCGAGCGTGGGAGCCCAACATGTAGAAACAATATGTATTAGAGCCACAATCAGACACCAACAAGCTTTCCGAGAGTGTGATAGTGTACATAATAATAAGCATTTATTTCTCACCACAAACTGAATTTTCGTAAATAATTGTTAAGATGGGATATGTCATTAGAAATATTTTTATGCTGGTAAGTATCTGTTTTTTTTTTATGATCAATTGGTTGAAATTGTTATTTAGACCTAGACTTAAACTGTGTGTTATTTACTGTACTCCAAAAGCCGTTGTTAAAGTGAGACACTGCAGTACGTGTGAACAGCACCATCCCATTCGAGCATTGATATACATGAGTGACTAGTCTTTTAAAGTGCAAAAGCCTAATTCTCTAGTCATGATTCTAGCCATAGTGTGACGGGTTCGATGCAAATGAATAAAAGCTCGAGAATTTGATTAATTTAAGAGTAACAAAAACACCCATTTCTGAGTCCGTAATATGTAGAAGTTAGTAGATATTTCACGAAGATATACGTTTATATGTTTCTTATTTAAATAATAATAATTTATATTGGGTTTATAAGATTAAGTATGATAATATGGTTAAATAATAATGTTCTCGCCTGATGTTTTTTTTTTCTTTTAATATATTTTTTTTAATTTAATTTTTTGATTCATAAAAAGCATATTGGTTTACTCAAAATTTCTAATTAGGTAAAGTAAATAATAAAAATAAATGATGTCGAATATCAAAGATAAAAAGTTTGCATGCTGAAACCTAGCACGAAATAAACGGTGGTACCTACGACAACGAATAACTAGGTAACACTGTCATCGAAAGTAAGGCAGATGATAAGTGTCTTTAGAAGTCTTTGTTAATGACTCAAAATAAGTTTAGATGATGAAATTTCATTCATTCAGATAAAGACATAAGGTCTGTATTAATTTTGAATGTACATAATATAAGAGGTTATAAGTAATAACTTATTACTACGGAACATTTACTCGAATTTAGTTAGTTATTCAGATGTTTCCTACACAATAATGCTGAAATATATTTGGATATATTTTTTTTAAAGTGAATTTTTTATTGGGTATCTTTCCAATAGCTATTTTCTTATTAGTATCGGATAAAAATGTTAGCAAATAAATTGCATAAAGCAAAATAAGTAAATTTAATTCCGTTGACGACTTTTTAACAGGCTTCAAAATCGAAAAGGAGGAGGTTATATGTTCGATGGTGATCTTTTTTTATTAGACAGCTTGGTGGATCGAAGTCTCATTAAATTTTTTAGAATTCATTCACAATATGAAAGAAGGTTTTACATGTTTAACGAGTATGTATACTTTGGTTATTATATTAATTAAATTAAAGGCACCCGACTTTATTAAATAAAAAACTAAAACTAACTTCAAAACTGACATATTGGTATAAGACCAACTTGATAACTAAAAAAACAAGTTGTTGGCAACAAATTAAATAAAAAAATATACATAGCTAATTTAATGTTTATAAGAAAACTTTTGTTATGCATATGTATTTTAAGATTTTATAGAGGATTGATCGTTTTCCTACTGAAAAAATATCGTGAAATATATGAGTATAATTACAAAAAAATGTTTTTGTTTGCAGACTTTTTTGACTGTACCATTCGAAGCTATAACAGTCAGCCCTTCACTTTGCCCTACTAATAAGATAGCTCCTCACAAAAGGATCACGAGCTGGGAAAGACCGAGTTCTCGTACTTTTGGAGCATTTTATGATCTTCTCACACCCAATTCTCCACAAAATAACAATCAAGATACGCTTCAAGAGGAACCTCAAGAAGACCAACCTGATGATTGTGGGGAAATAGAGGATTATGATGAAAATGATATTAGTACGGGTGTGTAATCAATAGTAATAAATACAGTCAATCCTATCAAATAATTCTAATTAAATAACAGTAGAATATAAAATACACGTTAACACAGAATAGATACTAACAAGTATACATACATATTTATTTTGTGATTCAAAAAAGTTATTAGGGTTACCCAAAGAGTAAAACGGAAACCCTATTACAAAGACTGCGCTGTGTGCTTCTTCTTCTTCTTTTTTAATTAATGGCTTATCTGCGCATTTCGCAAAATTCTGCCAGTGTCAAGTAAATAAATTAATTTTTACATGTATAATGAAAATGAAATGAAAGATTTGAAATGAAATGCAAACTTTGTCATCGTGAAAGATAGACAGTTGAAAGTTAAAAAACTATATTTAAAGAATTATATTTTTTTGTAATATAGTCCGTCAGTCAGATAATAGAAAAATATTAGATACCTACGTATTTTTTTTACTTCAATTTAACAAGAAATAGCTTAGATAACAGGCATTAAAGTTAAGGAGTGGGGGCTCGCTACGTCACAGTTGAGTAGAAAACGTACTCTAACGTGACGTCATGCGCAATTTCAACTCAATGTAACGCCGTAAATTTATGATTACGAAAAATATTAAAAAATACGTGTTTAATATTTTTTAACACTCTACCTGACGGACAAACAAACAAAAATTAGTCATCATCCCTATTAGTTTGGCTATTCATAGAGGAAACGCTCGCATCCTTCTGAGCACCTTACCTATTGGCAATGATCTGGGGCATATTTTTTATTTAGTATAGTTAAGACATAGCTTATTAGATAAGTACAATAGTTTTAATATTATAAAATACCATACATACCATAGTAAATATTAAAATAATTACATATTAGTAGACTAGAATATTTAATGTAGTTGACAATAATAATGCGTTTGAGGTATTATTTTATTATTAATAGACTAACTTTACAGTTAGAAGTTTCGTCACAACATATTTTTGTCTTGAAACAAATAACTTATTAATGTAACTTATTTTCAGCATCACAACAGACTAGAAGAAGACAAGATCGGTCGGAAAACCGATTTATATTTAGCAACGTATTCCACAAACCTCCATACCACGAAATACAACGTCCAACTACTCCTTCATATCCCATAACGCGGCCTCCGAGACCTCAACCGCCCAACAACCATTACCCACCCCATAGGCCACCATATTGGTCTGGAGGATTGTTCAGCAATAATCAATATCATCCCCCCTCAAACGAGAATCCCACAAGTTAGTATACATACCTAGATAACAAAAAAAAATGGATGATGTTTATTAAGTCAGAAATTACGGAACCTATGAATATTCCATTTTGATTATGGGGATAAGTCACTCCTTGAAGTTTCATTAACAAAAAATTTTGAAAATTATATACGGGTTTAAGCACTTGTAGTTAGAAAGTCAGGTCCCCCTAGAAAAATGTTTCTAGATGCACCAATAGCTATGGTCTAGATTAACTTTATATTTTTAATTGGATCGGTATTTATGCAATAATTTATGTTAAGGTTTGATTTAAGCAATTATCTCGATTTTAAAATTAACAGTCATTCGAATAAAGTTACGAAAATAATGGAGTTAACGTATTTTGGGGATTTATGATAGCGTTTCTTACGAGTTTTATTTATACGGAGAAAGTGGTATATCGTGATTACCCAAATCTGTACAACTTTCTTTCAGACAACTATAAACCAGTATACGAGTCAGCGCATTATACTGACGTGTCACAGACATATCGGCCCGGCGTGGTAGGAGGCCCCATCAATCACGTGGTGGGTGTTACACAAGTTCGACCTACAACAACTTTATCTCCAGTTGAGAGCACCAGAAAGAGTCTCGCGTATCTATCGAGCTTACACCAAAATCCTACACCACTAACAACATATTCAAATAGACGACAAAGACCCAGGAAACTGAACGACAGCAGTGTAATTGGATCCTTCATAGACTTATTTTTCAAATAAAACATAAAGTAGTCGATGTGTTTTATTTCCATTGTTTTATATAGGGCGGCGTCATTGTTGAACTCTGACCTTTCTTTTTATATCCATAACGGAAGGGTAAGCAACCTTCGTGATGTAAATATCACGTAGGTACCTAGGCTACCTTTCATTTATACTGACTGGTATTGTCATTCCGCGGGAGTCCTTTATCCAATCAAGTACTAATAAGACTAATAAAGGCTATGTGGGTGTTGTAATATAGATGTACTAGGATAGAATTGCTGATTAATTGGGAACACGTGACAGTATTTATGACTCGGGATTAGGCATGGGTCGCAATATTTTTTTGTTAATTTATGTTACGATGATATCACCTCATTTAGTGCGTTCGCTTGCTAGGAATGTTGTTGAAGTTATGACTTCAAAACTGTACAAGTGTAGTTGGTGAGTGGATGTACTCAGTGTCTTAAAATAATGTTTAATTTTAATGGGAACTTGAATATTTTAATATTAGTAGTGTTGGTGATACATATTGTTGCTGATGTAGGAGCTGGTATGTAGGAGTTAATATTGTAAAATATTTCTATTAGTGCTATATTATACATCTATAGTATTATTACATAATTAATGTTTAATCATAATACAGATTTTATAGAAATCGATAATAAAAATTGAACAAGAAAAATAACAGCATGTTTTATTAGGTAACTGGTAATTAAAAGAGAATGTCTAATACAATAAAACAGGTTTGACGGAGATGCATATAAATAAAATTCAATTGTCGTCCTCGATTTCCACTGTCTCAAAACTATTATTTTCTGTTAAATAATGTAGATATTAGTATTGATGAAAATCCATATACAAAAGAATCACGCAAATGGAAGAGCGTTCACAACTATGTTGAAGTTCGGCCAGGTGCATTTATATTTTATTGGTTTTACTATGCTGATGGAACTAGTGTGGAAGCTGCCCGAAAACCTCTCGTTATATGGATACAAGGTGGTCCAGGTTTAGCTGCAAGTGGCATAGCCAATTTCGCCGAGATTGGTCCTTTAGATATGGATATGCAACCACGCAATCACACTTGGGTGAGAAAGAAGGCTTTTGTATAAATTATTTTAAGTAATTAAAATTTAAGGCTCTCTTGTAGCTCCGCTTACGGTTCCATACAAATACGCATCGAGAGTATAGACGCGTTCGCTTGATTCCATACGTTTTTAGTTTTAGAAAAAAAAAAACAAATGCAGTTATAAAATAAATCTTTTGATAATTTCAGATTATATCACAACCTATTTGTATATATTTTTTATAAGGTTAATATAAAAAATATATTCTAGCGGGTAAAATTTCAGCTGTTCATCATCACTTTCGTTTTTTTTAATGAAATCAGAAAGTATTGAAAAAGGTTGTTTGTTACAATGATTTATGGCAATCGTATGCGTAGCATATAATGCATGTTCTTCAGCACGTGCATTATTTTGGCGATTGTTGGTCTAAACTAATATTATAAAGACGGACGATTTGATTGTTTGTTTGCAACAATAAGTAGTTTCAGAACTACTGAATCGATTTTAAAAATTCTTTATATTTTATCCCGAAAAATAGCAAATAAAGGGATGAAAATATGTATAGTATAGGGATGCAGTATGTATAGGGAAATAAACAATATTATAGTAACCATTGTTTACTATTAAAATTGTAATTATATTCACGTCATGATATGAATCGATACCCAAATAAACTGGGGACAGCCAGTAGGTTAATAAAGGGTTTTATACTCCAATCAAAGAAAATATATACAACCTACGTGTCGATGTATTCATCAAGAAGCTTATTCTTACTGACTAAACGTAGATATGTACCTACTAAGTGAATATTTATCAATTTCAGGTAAAAGGCAAAAATTTACTTTTAATAGATCATCCTGTAGGCACTGGATTTAGTTATGTTACAAAAAGTATTCTACTTGCTAAGAATGATCGAGATATAGGTAGGTACCTAATATGTTTTATAAAAAACTTTTTTGATTATGCAACTTAACATGTTAGATTGAAGTTTCAAAATTGATCATAGAAACTAGACATGGAAATTGTGGTAAGCCTAATGTGTTTCTGTGTGTCGATATTTTTAGGGTTCAGTATCAAAACAAGGAAAACAAAATCCTTATAGGGTCACTCGACTGTCGGTCTGCCTGTCATAGCTGATTTTCACTAAAAACTACTAGTAGTAACTAGTAGTTTTTACTTGGAAACTTTTTTGGGGCGTACTTAATTAGAAATAATTAAAAAGAAAAAAAAATCGGCATAACAATGTCTTCTGAACGAACAGTTATTGTATGATCACTGGGTAACAGTTATTGTGTACCCGGTTACCTCGCTAACTGTTCTCTCTACTTCTCTTTCTTTCTTCCCGTTCCGTTCTTTCTCTCCCTAAGGTTTCATTCATAGGGAAAGCCTGCAACAGCGATTCCTGGTGGTTGGTCTCGAAGTCCTGACACAATACAGATTTTATTTAAGTAGGTATTTCATAAAGTTAATTAATTTACTCTAATAGTTTGTATCTATTATTATCAAAATTTATGACTTGACGACGACTATACCTATAATGATGATGTGTTGTGTTGTCACACAAACAGGCAATAGCCACTTAACTTATCATTACAATTTCAGCAACAGATCTGTCCAAAACAATAAAAGCATTCTTTCGGATACACAAGGAATTTAGAAAAACACCGACTTATATTTTTGGACAAAGTTACGGGGGGAAAATATGTCCTCGCCTCGCATATTATTTATATACAGTAAGTGATATTTTTGATTCAGGAAACTAAGGTACTCAGCACGCACGCACGACGGTGTGGGAAGATCGTTTTTCAGTTAACTGTTCATGATTTATTAAGCTTCAAAGTGTCAATTTTCGTTAGAGTCAATCTCCACACCCCTCTACCAACTAAACGTTTGTTGTTAGAAATTCAAACGTCACGAAAGTAGTATTTATATATAACGAATGTAATAGGATAACTATTAGACTTAACTAAACTTTACAAGTATACGGGTAATAGTCGGCCAAATGTATTTAACTCAAAAATTTCGAACAACTTTGAAAACCCCAAAAACGTGATATTTTTGCGTTTTTTATAATAATACGGGACCGTTCGTGCACGAGTTTGACTTGCGCTTGCCTGGTTTTTTAAATAATACATTTTAAAAGAGAATTATTCTTAGGGGCATTAAATTATATTTGCGATAATATATACTACTGCCGATAATTATGAATGACTAAAAATCATAAAATACTCTAAATGAGTTACTAATAGTAAGAATAAGTTTTATCTCAAATATCATATATTTAAATTCAAAGTATCAGAATTAAATAATAAATTAGGCAAGAAAATTACTGAGTGAAAAGTCTCTGGAAATGCTGAATTGAGAAATTAAGAACAAGCTGACCGTAAAGTTGCTGTGAGGATCAGGCGTAGAATCTTGCACAAGTAAAGCATCATATTATAATGAAAGCCTTTAACTGAAAGTTCAGTAGTTCAATATCTAGATCCAAGTAAAATGATTTTGTAATTATTCAATAAAGTAAAGATTCAATAAAAGGATTATTCAAAGAAAACATTTGTCTGTATTTTTTGGCAAAGAAGAACAATATACACAGAAACACCGATAGATTTCCCATAATTGAATCCATCCTTTGGGACAGCCCTATGCACCAGCAGTAGGGTCGTTGATAAGCTAGTGATGATGATATAAGATTAGCTTAAGTACATCCAGTATACTCGGACCACGTGAGCGAAGCCACTAGTGTAATATATTTTCTAAAAAATCTGGATACCTATCTAGTTTATGGGTTTTTTTAGTGCTAACCTAACGATTAAGACAGTAAATAAATAATCGAAGGAACTTCTGTTGTACTCATGCTTTATCTGATAACCCGAATATTTGTTTCTTTTTCAGGCAATTGAGAAGAAACGTTTGAAGATGAATCTAAAAGGCATTGGAATTGGTAGTGGATGGGTCGATCCTAAAGAGAGCACTTTGACATATTCTAATTATTTGTATGATATGGTAAGTATGGGAAGGTTATGTTATTAATCATAATAATCTACAATTACATAATCTAAGGAAAATGTTATATCAATTCCTTTATAATATTATGTCTAGGTACATTACATATATCCATGGCCGACTGGCTCGTACGTCGCCGGTTTGAAAGTGCCGCCATCTCTGAGATCTTGGGCTCGAAAGACAACTTTTTTAAATTGTCTCTTTGTTGAAGGGGCTCCGTAACAAAATTAGTTGGGGGCCCAAATGGAGGAGTAAAAATGTTTGCTTACACACGTTAGGAGCCCCAGTAGTCCGGGGGCCAGTATCATTGGTACGGTTGCAGTATCAGCCCTACTATACGCTCCTGCACGCGAGAAACGCTTTGTCTACTCTCATTCGTCAGTTTCTCGGGTCGAGAATGAGATATAGTATGAGCGCACCGGAGAAAAGTGACATTTGAGTCTAGACAAAACGTTCTCGATTTCGTCATGCTATGCGTGCTGGTTAATGGATATTGCCTGGGTACCTTCGTTGTTTTAGATTTCAATAGTATTGTGTGTTTACTTCTATTTATATAATTATATTTATTACTAAAGCCACTGTTTATTATAGGGGGCTATTGATCGTAATACTTATCTGAAAATCAACATTATCACCAAAAGAATAGCAGAATATATAGAAAAAAAAGATTACGAAACAGCAAATGAATGGAACTTCTTGCTGTATTCAACCATCAACAAAGAATCCGGCATGGAAATTAACTTTAATAATATAAACCAAGTTAGTCCGTATAGTGCTTTAGATTTACTGAGCAAGAAAGTAAACCAATATGTGAAGCCGACTTTGGCAATGGTAAACCAAAGTTTAGAATGGTCTTACATATCAACGGAAGTTTTTGAAAATTTGAACGGCAGCTTTTTGATACCGTCGACTAAGTTCTGTGAGTAGGTAAACCTTAGACTCGAAAACGTTCAGTGTAGTGTGACTATATTTTTTGGTGATTTGTTTAGATCACTAATAATTAATCTTATACATTGTATTTTCAGTAGAAACTTTGTTGAATAAAACGGATTTAAATATTGCTATTTACAATGGTAATTTGGATGTTATTACTCCTCTAGCAGGTAAGGGCTAACCTTTTTTTTTTATTAAATGATGCGATAGGATCCAATGGTAAAGTATATATGATAGGATAAGTATACTACACAGTTTATCAATGCGTTGTAATTAATTTGGTACATTTTACAGGGGCTACGAATTGGGTTCATAAACTGAGGTGGCACAGCGCGGAGCAGTTCAAAAATGCCAAAAGAATACAAATAAATGGATACAGAAATGGTTTTTACAAAAAGGCAAAGAGGCTCAGTTTTTGGTGGGTCTTCGGATCAGGACATTGGGTAAAACGATTTTATTTTGTAGCTAGTATTGATTTTAATTACGCATTCGATGTAAATAATATATTATTTATTTTCTAATTTTCAGGTCCCTGAAGACAACCCTGTAGCCATGGAACAAATTTTAGATCATGTGATATTTAGCTGAGGGTGAAATCATAATGACGCTTCAAATGCAAGAAAAGCATTAGTTAACCATTGTTTTTTTTTAATAAGCGCAACTTGATAGTATTGTACAACTTTATTTGTATATATGTAACTAATGCCGGTAAACACCAATTATTTACATATTTAATAAAAACAATTACACTTTGTGGCACACGAAAATCAAGTCAGCATCATTCTGGCTAGGAGATTCTCCAAAAACTATTATTGAACGTCGACAATTCAACTATCATGAAACCAAAAAACTATCATGAAATCAAATATGTATTGTAGAAATTATATATATGTATATCGTTAAAAATATTTCATTTGTTATATTAATAATAAAACTACAATAATGTCGACCCAATAAATAGCACGACTTAACTTGAGTAATATAATGCCAATACACTGTCCTCTTGATTTTGGTGTGCTGTAATATAATTAGAAATATAATTCTTAAGCACCACACAAAAACAATTATACAAACAACTTGATAATAATTAACATTAAAATTAATACAATTCTAATCGCGTAATTATAAATTTCTAGTTTCTTTTGATATATTTTTGTTAATCAATAAAACATTAAATATTTATTAAAATTTTCAATGAACTCATCATAAACAGATTACATATTTAATTTAAAATAAACTTCAAAAGAAATGTCAATTTAATTATTTACCGCCTAAACAAGTTGCTTTTAGTTATAAATTATTATGGCAGTATTGGAATTTAAGACCGAATCACATCATAAATTCGTGTGTGTAGTTATACCATGTATACTACATTTTGTTCATTATAATTAATAGATATTCCGAGACAAAATTATATACAAAGGCATAATATAATAAGACCTAAGGATACAATTTTCGGGAACACAATATCAGTCTACATTCAGTCTGCATATAACAATAATTAGTCTTTAGTTAAAATTATAGGCAGGCGAGTGTCTCATGGCCTTTGTCATTTACAAGAAAAGGTGTTTGACTTTACGGAACACTCTCATCGACAGTATTTAAAATCTTAATTGTTAGTATACTAGTGGTATTCTGCTATTAAAACAGTCTCGAACTCGATGACGAGCGCAGCATTGTCTTAGAGGTTCAATCAAATAAAACCTACTTCAAAAGATTTCAAAAGGTTGATCGTTCGAAAACATAAACTATAATTTACGTTTCCCGCACTCCAAAAGTGCACAAATTGGCACTCCGCATTTCGTTTCGAGGATCGATTTTGGGTAAGTCCCTTCCTTTTATTTCGCGATGCGCTAAGAAATGCTCGTACGTAAATTTCATTCAAACGACTTGGAAATTTTCTACCAACAAAAACTAAAATAATGCTAGCACAAATTCTCCTTGGCACTGATGTTTGCTATACTGATCTAACCGAGGAATTATTTTACGAGTTAGAGCGTTTGCAGAATATGTTTTCGATTTTTAACTTCCGCAAGTACGACCGTGTCGCATTTCCATTCAAAACATAACTGGCTCTCTATTCGCTGGCTTAGGGCATAATTCTCTATTCTATTTTTGCGTATGTCCCCACCACAGAACATAGAGAGAGATTAGAAGTATAATGATATTAATTTAGTATGGGAACCGAGTGTCGCCTCTCCGCACACAAATACAGATTAGATGAAATGATCATTTTGTTCACTACATGAAAAACCGCCACGCGATAGGTTCGCGATAACATAAACCAAATCCCAAAAAGATACTAAGCTAAGAAATCACACGATTAAAAACAAACTCTAATTCAACGTGATAATAAATAATTTACTTTAACATGAATGTTGAACTGTCACGTGGCTGTATATGGGGATACCAGAAGGAAAAAAATATTTTAAGATTATGCACATTTAAAAAAATTGGGGTCATCATTTTATGTGCGAACTATTAATATTAGATTTTGCTGTAACCAAGTGAATACTGAAAAATTAAGGCTTTTCCCTACATAATTTATTAAAATATCTTTTAAAAAACGCAGTACAAAAACTAAGAAAACTTAATGATACACTCTATCGTATGTCTGTGGAGTAATATAATTAAGCGAGGGAAAGTTTAAAAAAAAAACAAAAATTAAGAAAACAAGAGAATTTTTGTATTAATTACATTAAGCCTAATTTGTATTTTTTTCTTACTGGTATCATTCCGATTGTGCATATTAGTGATGTGACATATTAGTTGATAAAATAAGAGCTTTAAATTTTGTTATGAAACAGTTCAATGTAATTCAGTTCGACAATTTTCTGCAGTGGTTTGATAGTAATTATTTAAAGCTTTATTCAAATAAAACGAAATACATAAAGTTTGCATTACCTAATGTGAGGCATGTTAATATACTTATAAATGTAAATAGTGAAAAAGTTGAGATGGTGGAATCGACAAAGTTCCTTGGTATTTTGGTATATTGATAATTTGTCAAGTAGACTGCGTTCTGCAGCATTTGCTGTTAAGAAAATTAGACTCTTAACAAATGTTGAAACGGCAAGATTGGTATATTTTAGTTATTTTCATAGTGTAATGAATGACGTATAATCTATTGTTATGGGGTTCTGCGGCTAGCATTCAAAATATTTTTATTCTACAAAAGAGAGCTGTCCACGCTATATATGATTTACGGTCTAGAGAATCTCTCAGAGAAATATTTAAAGAAATAAATATTTTGACTGTTGCCTCCCAATACATCAATGAAAATATTATGTACGCAAGAAAACATTACGATTCCTTCACAAAAAAAAGTAGAAATAAAAATAAACTTGCCATTCCAAGTGCTTATAATAGCCTTCTTGAATAAAGATATTTTCATTTCATTTCATAATAACTAATATGATCATTACACTAATAAATTGATCATAGCCATGTTTGTTTTACTTTATTATTCTAAGTTTTATATCTGTAATAATAGTAGTAGCTACATTATTAATTGCAACGACTGGATAGTAAGGAATTGCTGGTCAAGTATGAGTTTGAAAGCCGTGACAAAAAAAGTTTGAAGATAGACACAAAAGCGATAAGTACGTACAAACGTCAATCTACATATAAAGTCACATCCGTTTGAGACATGCGTCTATAAACTTATGTGCAAATATGGAGCAACAAAAAAACTGATAAAAGCTGTTCTGTGGACGGTTCTTTAAAGTGACTTTCTTAACTCGATTTCTATAATAATAGTTTCCGATTATGAATCAGCATAATAAGGTAAATTAAATTGACGCCTAAAAATTAATTTTGTAAATTAAATTCACACCACCAACAATATTACGTTAGTTGAAAACATAATTTTTTGTTTGTATAGATATTATGTTGTTTTGAAATTCATTTGATAGGTTTAGGTCTAAAACAGATAGGGCAAAATTAATTATGTAAACAAGGCAATCCGTTGTAAAGTTATTAGGGAAACTGAAATATAAGTAATGCAAAATAAGTGAAATCCAGTTTCACCAGTTTCTAACAAGACCTATTAGGCCAACTCTTAGCTTTTCACGAAGTTTCGTTTAATTTATGTACTGTTCATAAAACGGTGATATACTTCGTAACTTAGATATTTATAGCACATCAGTTATTTTTAATATTTATCTGCGTGTAAATAATTAACCGAATCTTCGTAAAAAAAGTGCCTGGACAGTTCATTATTTCATTTGTTCAGTATCAGTTCATCTATAATTTTCCCTTGTAAACAGTATTTTTTAGTTTTATATAATTATGGCATATATTTATCGATAACGTTGTTATGAAATGATGAAAGAAAAGCTCTAAATAAATATGTTTTAGTTATCGATTACGATCCATATAATTAACAATACGATTCCGAGCAGCAGCAGCCTATCGGTACATTTCAGACAAATGGAGGCACAGCACTATTTTTTGCAAAAGTGCACAAAATGATTTACATTGCTGTTTAGTAATGGGGTCAGAAACATTGATGTTGGTTTGAGCAATCAATGTATATTTTATTTAACATTGTGTCAAATTATTACGTTTTTTATATTTTAGCACTAAAATTGTACTTACCAGTGAAAGGAAATGTTTGCATTAGTTAGATTGTATACTTTGCTTTGCTTTTTGCAAGTGATAATAGCACAAAACGGCATTTTTTATAGAAAAAATCTGTAAAATCACCACTCGACGATTGACGAACGACTGACAAACATAAAACCGAGGAAAGGGCGTCATATGAGTAAAAGCGCATATGCCAGCGACGCGTGCCCCGCCCACTTACTACTTCTATTCTCTCTCTATGTTCTGTGGTCCCCACCAAACCTAAAAACATTTTTTCCTTACGCAACTCTTCATCCCGGTATCAATATATTCTGTGGTCCGCCTCGAACCTCACCCCTGATATCCCACCTCACACCTTCGACTTCCTATTCTATTACTTTTTCGTACAAACTGTTCGGCTTTGGAACTCTTTACCAGAAACTATTAGGAAAGCGCACACTTTGAAGCGAAGAGCTACTTTCCCTCCAACTTTAAACATACTATTTGATATTTTTCTTTCTTTGTAATGTGTTTTATATTTGTGCAATAAAGAATATTATTATCATCCATTCTGATATTATAAACAGGAAATATTTGATTTTTTTTGTATTTTGTTTGCATCGAATGGCCTCCTAAAGTACGGGATCGAATTCAAAAAAATCTTTCTCCTCCGGGTAGCTACATCATACGAGGTTGACATAGGCTATAATTTACGCGTGCGCAGTCGCGGGACAACAGCTAGTTATTAATAAAGGTTTTATCTCATTGAAGCTCTATGATGTGACAATGCTGAGCTAAGTTACGTTAAGGTTGTTGCTGTTTTAAAACAGAATAACATGAACTTAAATTTTTGGAATCATGATTTCATTAAAAAATACTATTATAGATGCAAATGTGTGGAAATTGATTACGTACACTGTAATAATAAAGTGCTATTATTTCTCTACATATACAAGATATCTAATACATACGAATAGTATTTGGCGCAGATCTAGTTCTATGGGAGTTTAATATAAGTACAATCAACAGCACGTCAAATTATTTAAATGTCAAATTTCCATAGTTATCAGGGATGATGCCTGGGTAGTCCGCCAGTCAGATAATAGAAAAATATTAGATACGTATTTTTTTGCTTCAATATGACAAGTAATGGCTTAGATGATAGACATTAAAATTGAGTAGTGGAGGCTCGCTATGTAACAGCTATGTAGAAAGTGTACAAAGGTGTGACGTCATACGACATTTCAACTCAAAGTATCACCGTAATTTATTGATTACGCAAAAAATAAAAAAATACGTGCTTAGTATTCTTTAATAATTTAACCGACAGACAGACAAACGAATCATCCCTAATATAATGACGGATAATTTCAAAATTGTTTTTTTATTTTATTAGACATTTGTGGTAGCTTGATATGCTGCTGTATGTACCACAATATTTGCTTATAACTACGTGAGTCTCACTTCAGCGTAACACGCGTCGCACACTCTAACTGGTTTAGTATTTCCTGTTAACGCTACAGTCTTTTCGCTGCATGCGCCGCAAAATATGTGACCGCATCGTCTACAATGGTGCTGTGAAAAAACGAATTTCATATGGAACCATAAAATTAACTAAGGTACAACAAAATACAATTCCGACATACGATATTGTTCTTCAGGTACAGGTACGTATAAAAATCGACATTTTGAAGTTCGTTTTGATATTGCTATAAAGAACTTCGCACATTACACCACACTTCAACCTGACTGCAGCTTATTTGTTTAGGCATTTATGGTTAGTGTGGTCGCAAACACATCTCATAAATGAGCATCTATCGGTGTGGGTTACTTGTACGTTGTACACTTTATTCATAAAAAATATGAACTTTCGTTAAGATAAACAATTGAAGCTTTGTACTTAATTTTATTGTCTCACTGAAACACGACAACAAGGAGAGATATAAGTTAAATTGATGAGTGATACTCGTAAATATCATTTCAAAGGAATGTATTGTGCATTGCGTTCACTGAAATTCTATAATATCGAACAAGAACTATAAAGTCTATATTCCTATGTTCGCCAGTGGGTCAAGGTGGAGTGGAATCATCATCAGCCCTTTTACGTCCCCACTGCAGGGGCTCAGGCCTTCCTTATGGATGGTTAAGGAGGATGGGCCATGACCCTCCACGCTGGCCCAATGCGTATTGGAAGGTATTAACGACTGCAAATGCAGCCGGGACCAACGGCTTAACGTGCCTTCCGAAGCACGGAGTAGCTCGAGATAATAATTTTTTGGTCACCCATCCCGTAACCGACCCTTGCGAAAGTTGCTTAACGACTACGATCACGGGCCGCAGCGCTAATCCACTATGCCACCGAGCTACTAGTGCTAGCTAGGAGTGGAATAAGTAAACTCAATGTAATGTATGAAGAAGATGAAAAAATCAAGACAATGTTACTCACTTTCCGTCTTGCTATAGTGAACTCTTTAGCGCAGGATGTGCAAGCGGAAGCATCTTTATCATGTGTCCAGGTGGGATTCTCTTCAGTTGTGGACGATTTCGCCTCCTTTTCCAACAGTTCTGCCAACTGAAGTTTATTTTCACTAAGAGTAGCCCCGACTTCTTCTAGAGTCTTCTGGGCTTCGCTGTATTGGGTTCTAAGAACGTGTTGTTCCTCTTGCAGTGCTATATATTTCTGTAATTTATTTAACGTCATTTCATTTTATTTTCATTTTAAAAGGTCGTGAAACTATAAAATTTTGTAATCAATAAAGATTTTTTATGGTCCCGTATCCAAAGGGCTAAAGGAGAACCTATCGCTAAGACTTTTCTGTCTGTCTTTTTGTTACCACTTCACCAGGCTGTTTCTCATGAACCGTGATAGTTAGACAGATAACTATATAATTATAGTTAATTACAAATACTTAAAAAAATGTATTCGAATAAGTATCTTGAGGGGCTCTCATACAATAAAGTGATTGTTGTTTTTTATGGATGATAGCACGGAACTCTTCGTGCGTGAGTACGATTCGCACTTAGCCGGTTTTTATATCTTCCATACGACTCTATATACTTCTTTAATTTTGAAATGCATGACAAGATACGATTATTCGTATGGATAGCATGAATACATAAGATATTCATTAATTCTCACGACAAACCATGTGCAATAAAAAGTTATGGCTTACCTGCCCAATAGATTTCAGCGATTCAACCTCTTGACTAAGAGCAGATATCCTATCGCGATCTCTTATCATTGTTTCCTGGTGAGAATTAAATAAATAAAGTTTTGAAATGTTTGGTTTATAAATAAAATAAGTGATTCGCATCGTAGATTAACATGATACAAGACTGATTCATCAAACGATGATACTTTTGTCAGCAATGTTTATTTTATTTTGTTTCAGTTCGGTTAGCAATGACAAATAAAATTTTGATATGGAACATGTTAATAATTGTAATATGTATTTATACAGGTGTAAATATTAAAATTATATATAAAGAAAATTTGACAGGTCCCTGATAAATCAACGATTAAATTTATATCATACGTGCCTTGGAATGGAACACACCCAAAATCACAATTTCTTATATTTTTTTGAGAAATTATGACATTAGATATTTTCGCAAAAAACTATGAAAATATATAAAATTGTCCAAAAATTCCTCTTCCTTATATCACACAAGACAACCAGTTAATTTTTTTTTTTACTAAAATTGAATAAAAATAGTCACGCACTTGAACTTTTGAGCCGATTTATTATATTTGATAAATTTCGCATTCGTAACGCTATCCTGAAAAATATTATTTTATGAAAAATGGTTAAAAAATCAATTTGGTCCCTGGCACCCTGAGATGATGAATATCTATATTATAAGTATAATCTTATTATCTATTACTTAAGGAAGAAAGCTTAAGGAGTTAAAAATTGAAACGCTTATGAAAAATGTTAAGGTCAACTTAACATCGAGTAATTTGGAATCTATAGTACACTTACAGCCGGTTTCTGAAATGAGAAAATTACCAAATAAATTACCAAATCTTAACTGATTAGATTACCTATACACAATTACATAAGTTTTTAACGTTTCACATGGCAAAAGTCCTAGTTTTATCAAACTGCTATAAATTGACTATCAAAAAAACTAATATCATAAACCAGTTAAGGGGACGTTCTTTTTTTAAATTCTCAATTTAAAATCGGGTGTATGATTAGTGCACAGATGTTTACACGTAGATGATTTCTTGTCTCAAGAAATCATATGTTGACGATTTACTATTTGCCTATATACAAAAGGTTACTGTATTGCAAGTCTCTCTGCTATTTATTTTACAAAGGCTTTAAATCAACTGATAGAGTATATGTTTAACCTTACGTCATCAACTAATGTAGGTACTTCCATTTTATTTAAATTTAGCTCATTAATAAGTTCGTTTTAGATGTTATTTCTACTACAGCATATTGTTGATATTAGTACGGTTAGTCCAGATAACACAGTCTTAGATTCAATATTCACCTGCAAAGATATCCTCCATTCACTTTCAATCTTTAGATCTCCCTCTGCTGCCACTGCCCTTGTTTCAGCAGCTGCTGCCTTTTGTCCTAAAGAACGGGCGCTTTCTTCCAGACTCTTCCTAACTTTAGCATCATTCTGTAACCTATCACGTGAGCCTACTTAGTCATATTTCAATCCAACGCCATTAGATTAGATCAATAATTTATCTGACACTTTCAGGAAAATTCTACGATTGATAAGTAACATATAACAAGATTTTAAGAATTTTGCTCAATTCGCCTACAGTGATTTAAGAGTTATCAAGGTTTAAGCAGGTACCTACACATAGCTGCACGTCAGGTTACCAAAATATGCCAATTTTACAGAATTTATTTTGAAAATTACCAACAATATACAGGTTACAGGTTAAAATTAATAGAGATGTCGAAAAAAAATATTTGTTTTTACGACCTGAAATGCTGATGACTGTACGAGGAATATTATGTCAAGGTTAAATCAAACACTTAATTTGCAATCATATTTGAAAAAATATCATTATATTTTACTGAATTTTTAAATGTCAGATAAAAAAAGTTTACGAAAAATGCTGTAAAACATAAAGATGCATAGGAGCAAGAAAAATATAAGAGTAAAAGAAAAACTAGATATTTCATTAATAATTTTTAGAGTTTTTATTGTTATCATTAAAATTCTGTTAAATATATAACAATAAACAAATCCTCCTCTATGCATATTATGTATGTGCTTTATTGTGTTCCTGTTATTTTACATTTTGTCCGTCCTGGATTGTAATATTCATTGTGAACAGTGTTCTACTTATCACTATGTTGCGGCGGCCATATGGGATTTTTTTTTTTCATAGTGAACTGTGTTTACTAGTTAAGCCCTTTCATTTGATTCCCATATTGAGGTATGTAGTCATGACAAAATTTGTAAACCGCCACTTTGTAGGGGCGGCCATCTTTGATTTACAATGAAACAGAATTTATTTAATTGTTTTTTTAAGGGGTGTCATATTTAAATTACTAGATATGACCCAAACAAATAAAAAAAACAGGACAAGCTAAATATAACCGTTTAGTAAAAATGTTTTACTAGACTAAATAAATATAGATTTAGTCTAGTTTGTGCAATAGAATTGCTACCAATATCTGTCTTTAAATATTTTGGTTATCAAAAAAATATTTTGGTTACTAAGAGTTAATTTAGATTTAAAATTATAACTTGTAATTTTACGCCATTAATCTATTAAATTCAAAATTGCAATTTGTTTATGCATTATCCTAAATTAGACTTCGGATTGGAATTATATTTTTTTCATTAATTAAAGAACAGAGCAAGTTTTATCAAAATCGTTTCAGCAGTTTCGAATATTAAATATTACTTAAGAAAAGGAACAAATAATAAAAAAGTGAAACCAGCTTCAAAAAAGCTCTAATACTAAGCGGTTAATATTATTAACAAAAAATCCAAAAGTAAGGATCGATAACAACAAAAGATACTTGAAATATTTTTTCTTTATACTAAGCATTATTAAAGTCAATTTTATTTAAAAAAATATTTTTGTACTATTCTGATATTCTTCTATGTGTACGTTTTATATATCAACCGGTTACAGTAAGTTTAACTAACATGGTCCATGATAAATCTTTGTTTGCACAGAGCTGATCTACTAACACCGACGATAACCGCATATACGATAAAAATTTAATATCAGTCTTCTCTCAATAACCATATCGTTTAAAACAGAACGCATTATGTGTCCCTCTTACTGACACTCAGTGGTGATCAGGGTTATGGATATTGGTGGATCGCCCGATGGTAGACGAAATATTATAAGACTTAGTTTTATAATATTATGGTCAAAAACACTACGCATCAGGTGTCCGTCTCACTCACAATCACTCACTTTTTTGTGTGATGTAATTGTTGCTGAGAAAATAAACTTTTTTATCTATCTATCTATCTATCTTATCACACTCAGCGGGGGTCAGGCCCGTTGGATCGATCTAATGGTGTGATACTTGTATCAATCTGATTAGCCGACATTTCTCGACATTTAACGCCATAGTCATGTAGGTACATGGCTATGGCGTTAAATGTCACAGAAGTTTTACCTTCTGTGCAGGTACATGGCTACACGTCAGGTTGTCAAAGGAGAATGGGCAATTTACTATTAGAGTTCTGCTATTTTTGCGTAATTTGAACATTGTTGAAACCAATGGTAAACGCTAGAGAATTATTTCTTGAATGAGTAGGAAAAAAACCATTTTAAAATTATGCCGGAGTTTGAGAATATCTGAATATTTAACAGACATTTTAAGGTTATGTCGTTATATCTATGTATATAAGAGCAATAAAATGAATAATGTATTTCAAACAATCGATGACTAACGGATATAAATATTTAATTGCGAAAATGTACATATACATATTTTAAACAATGTAAATATCTATTACTATATTTTAAGTAATACGGTAAATTTTAAACGCCGCATAATTTTAAAATAGTATTTATATATAATTAACTAGCTTCTGCCCGCGACTTCGTCCGCGTGGTAAAGTTACTTTAAGCAGCATTTCTAACGAATATTAATTCATTATATCGTGTAAAATACCTGAAAAGAAGTCTTATCCTCTTAGCTTATGCCCTTGGTTACGTCATAGTTGCTATATGCATGCAATCTCTCAGCCCTTAAAATTGGGATTTTTTTTGATAAATACATGCATAGTGCGCAGTTTGTGTACTTTTAGCCGACATCTGCCCTTTCTCCTTTGGACCTCTACTATCAATATATTATGGTTTAAAATAAAATGGGGAAATTCGACAGTTTTGTATAGTCTGATATGCAGCTGACTGTACATGAGTGTACCATATAAGTTGTATCTTACTGTACGTAACACCTTCGTTACTACATAATCGAGTTACTAAACTCATATTCTGACAATTCAAACATCATATAAAAAGATAAAAGGTGCAATTTAGAAACATATGTATAAAATATATTGTTCTAAATTTTATTGGAATGATCAAGCGGTGCCTGCTTTTTTACCATTAAGTAAAATAATAACACTATAAAAATATTAGAATCAAACTCAAATACTAGAAGATAAATAAAAATAATATAGACATAAACTAAAAAGAAAAGAAAAAACTATGGTCAAGGAAACTATGACAAAAAACGAAAGCGCAAATGTAAATTTTCTTTCATTATACAATGGTCTGATTAAGTTATAAACAATAAGAATTAAAATAGCATATCTTGTGTTAAAAAGCATGCAAACATAACAGATATAGATAATGGCAAACCTACACAACCAACACAAAATAAAAACAAGACGAATTTTGGTGTTGTGAATCAATGAAATACTTTATGCGACTGAATATGCTTTATTATAAACAAGGCTTAACATTTCTACTGTCGAACAAATTACAAAACTAAGGAAGATAATACTCGTTTTGTTGTTTTCCTAAGACATTTGTAACTAGATGTTAATAAGCTTATTATAATATTTTAAACGATAATTAATATGTTAGTTTAATACAATTATTCAGCTAGTTACACAATGAGATCGCAGTAATTATCAATATAATTAGATGAACAGATCACAAATATCATTATCACATTAAAAATATCACTAGAAAAGTATACAAAATAACTTTATTTCAATTCAAGCATTATCAATTGCGTCTACTTTTACAGCCTTCAAATACATTATTTATATAAATAAATTCATTTTAGAAATATACACGTATTGTTTCATTAACAAAACAAAAATCCCTGATACAAATGTTACTTTTAGTTGCTATAATAATTTCCAAACTTAAACTGGATTAACCATATAATATACTGTGTTACATTCCGCAGCAACGATCAAGCCAAAGCAACAGTAGCATATTTATTGTTAACAATAGATTCCAATCGGTATATTGAAATATAACGCTTTATATATGTAGATATTAAACTGAATGTCCATGTTCATTGTGAGGGTTTGCCAATATCTAATGAATGGAAAGAGTTACTATTTATAAAAATCTTTCTCTAACGCAAGCTGTGCTTTGCTCACACCTATGTGCGAATTCGATTACTGATATGTGAAGCGTTACATATAACAGCGTTTAACATCGAGGCACTCTTTCTATCCTTACGGATAAGAGCAGGCCGGAGCCTTAATTGATGCGATGACATAGAATAGAAATAACGTACAAAACCTACTTCTCATCGAGCTGATGTATCGTGCTGCCCATTGATTCAGTCTTTGCTTCCAATTTGGATATTAGTTCAGTTTTATGTTTCAAGGAACTTTCACATTCCTAAAACAAGGCCAATAAAATTTTGCTCAGTTAAAGCTAAAAAATCAAAGTATGGACTATATTGTAACCAGATTTGTTAGTATAAATGCACATGTTAATGTTAAAAAGCATACTATAATTATAATGTTAATACAATTACGTTTTTTATTAAGCGAGGTAATAGTCGGTATATAATTTCCTAAGACCAACATATTAGCCTCATATCGTTAGCGTTAGGATTATTAATGAATACATTACAAATATAATAGTACAGAACAGTTGTTACAAATACAGAGATTCTTTATTTGAAGTGTAGGAAGTACCACCGGAAATAAACCTATGTACAACTAATGAAAGTTTGTTAATCTATTTTCCTAGATGACCAACGCCTTTGTCATTATTAATATTTTTCCTAAAGGGTGGTATTTCCTGCAGATTCAATTTTTTATTTGGCGGCCCCTCATCCTTAGACTTTGTACCCTTTTGGAAGGCATTATTTTGTGCTTTGAGTTTTTCTAGCTTTTCTCCTATGTTATTCTCGTTAGTGGTAGGAGATCTGAGAGCTTTGAGTAGGTCATGATCGGGTCCTAGGAAGTAGTTATTTTTCTCAAACTTTTGAAGTATTTTGCCAATTTGCTCGGCCTTTCCTTGGAGCCTGGATACCATTTCACCCTTCTGCGTCAGTTCCATCTCGCATTCCTTCCGTACGATAAACGCGGCATTGTGAATACAGCATTGCATTAGTATTTAAACAAAATATGTATAAATATATATATAAATATGGCTTATTGCATCATGCTTTTTATTTTATTTAGCGATAAATAAATAGAACATATAAATAGCTTCAGGAAACCAAAAAATTAGCACTATCTTAATTGAGGACAACACTCATGAAGATGTGGTTAAGAAAGGCAATGAAGTACCTAATTAGAGGAAACTCTATAACGTATTGGGATTTGTTTATTATAGAATGAGTCAATAATGGATTTGTTTATTATAGAATGAGTCAATAATGGGTAATGTATGGGCGGCAAGTGTTCTGGCAGCCACGTAGGTAGAATATAATATAATTTGCCCACGTTCAATGTATAGGCTGTTGGGGGCAATGGCATTGTTACATTAGATTTATTAATCGCAGTTGAATAATAATCTGTTGTGTGAACTCGGTTTAAAGTACTGTTAGTAAGTGGCGGTCTTCATTGCGAGGTCATGCAATTATTTCGTTGAATGTTAAGTACATTTTGGTACATCTTTTTTTTTTCCAGTAATTTAGTCTTTGAGTAAAGATGAAGGTATTGTTTATTTTTTTAAGATTATAAGCAAAGTCCTTTAACTATAGAGACCAAATATTCTAAATTAAATCTAATAAATAAAAATGTATAGTATAAATTAGAACATTATTTCTATAGAAATAATAGGAACGTAAATTGAAATTAAAAGAAATATCACAAAAATAACAAAGCGACACTAAAATCAAGGTTGCCAATTTGCCATTAATTTGTGGGTTTTTTTAAGTGTCGTCACTAATTTTGTAAATTGTTTTTGTCGGATGTAAGTCAGCGGACCATGACAAAAGTTAAGAAATATAATGTCGACAACAGCGTGCATTGAGGTCAACCAATCACTTAGTCGGTAAGGGTACAAAATCCTACAGTACTAAGTCTGTTACTTTGACAATTCGATAGCTTACCTGTAATTTCTTGTACATTTCTAGGTTAATTAATTTTATATCATCAAGTTGCCTCCTCAAGGATATAATTGTGTCCTGTTTGTCGTGTATATCTTTCTCTAATAATTTCATTGCTACTTCCATTTCTGCTTTCAGTGATATCTGAAAAATTACCCGAAAAAAAGCCAATTATAAATACACATATAATAGACAGTATTTTTACAGAAAGGTCCATCTCGGGGAACCTGGGACTGAGAATTTTAAAAGCATTTCTTTTTAAAGATTGTGAATTAATTATAAATCAAATTACCTATACATCAAAAACTATACATCAAATTACCTGTAAATCTAATTCTTTTTGCAATTCCATATTTTTCCTTTTCTCGTCTTCCAGCATTTTCCCGTGATCGGTGTCCTTATCGCTTTTCGATTTTTCCGATGTAGTGCTCTTGACGCTGCGTTTTTCCTGGAATGTAGTGGGTGTATTTTTTTTTAAATTTTGCAATCATTACTTCGTATTGTGTCACAAATAGATACTTTGTTATGTTAATACCGGACGTACCATTGTTTCAAGGATAACTATTCAATTACAATGTAGCTATGTCCATATAATTAGTTTTTTTCGAGTTGTGTAAACATTTTCCCTTCCTACGCAATTGTTTTTTTTTTTAAATCACACGTGCGCATTAAATGTAAATACAACAAATGACATCTTAATAATTGTATTTAAAATGTGTCAAATTAGGTTCTTTTAATAACAACAATAATAAAACGTGTAAAATGAATCTTACCTCTTCATCGGACTGTAATTCCGTCACTTTCATCCTGGTATCTTTGGTTATATCCTGACCTGCAAAAAATATCACACGTGAAACGCTACGTAAATAAACACTAGAGAGTCGCGACGGTTATATTTACACACGTTTCGAAATAACTCACATGATTTTAACCAAAACGCTTGTTTGGAATAGGTATTCGACGTTCTATTGCCCATTAAAGTTAGGCGATGGGGCATAACGGTGTGTCACTATTGATTCTAAGTTAAGTATGAAATACGCGCGACGCTCACGGAATACGAATGGCAACTAATCAGTAAGCCAGTCCGACTCGTCAAAATCGCAAGGTGCTTTATCTAATGCATTCTATTATTCGCCATTGTTAGTTACTGATAATGCGTAGTCAGACTACTCAGAAATTTAGGCAATATAGAAAATGATATAGCACTTAACAGACAAGTTATTACCGCTACTGGTATATTTATGTCAATAATTGGTAATTAAACTAAGTGTAAAATTGGATTCTTGGTGGCAAAATTTAATTAGTTTTGATATTTTCGTATCTAAGATTTATATTGAACTGACGACATATTGACTTTGCCAAATGGCAGTTTTAAAGTGAGTCATAGTATGTTTGTATGTATAACGTACTTTCCGATTTTCATTAAAGTCATATTATGTATTATTGCATGAATTTATGGATTTTAAGAGCATTACATTAATTTGACCAACATAAAGATAAATATGAATGTTACATTACCGAAGTCTGTACAATTTTTATTAATGAATAAACAGGTTTTATTATTAATTATATAATCATTACAAAACTGTATTGTTAAATAACGTAGTCTATTTGCATAATTATTATATTAGGCACTTTATAGGTATCAAGAACTGTGAGTCGAATTATTAATGAGGTTTTTGAATTCAAAGCTATAATTAAAATTACGTATAGCTTAGAACAAATATTACAGAAAAACATTAAAATATTGGTTTACCAAATAAAAATAAATTATAAGGAGGACCTTAAATGATATGTTATATATCTTGATGCTCTATTTACTTTTTTATATTACCAAATTATTTTAACAACTTAGCGTATTTAAATTTTATATTATTTGCAAAGCAGTAGCTGTTTCACTTTTACGTTCATTCTTTTTAATTTGCAGTTGAAGTTCAAAAGGTAAAGCCGTTTTGAGTTGATGAGTGGTTCAAACATTTAGTTCTTAATCAAAACATTTGTCAATCGTGTTTTTATATATCATTTATTCTACGTCTGCGATAGAAATAATGGACCAGCTAAAACCCTACCCAATCTTCGTGGGGTGTTATGGATGTTAAGACATACCTATACGATTCAATGAGGGACATTTCACTCACATAGAACAGTTGCTACAAAATTTTTGGACATAGACACGCATTTTGGGATGCGTCAATAAACTAAGCAGAGTTTATCGCTAGAAAAATAAGGATGCGTAGTAACGCAAGCTATGAGGCTAAATCGTCACAATTGCCCTTAAAAATACATATCATATTTTCATTAAAGACGATTAATAAATTTTGGTCATTCATCCTGTGACCGACGCTTATAAAAGTTGTTAACTTCCAGCATTGCAGATTGAGTGCGCTAAACACTGCACCATTGTCAAAGTCAAAAATGTCATTATTCAGATAAATTAATTTAGTCACTTTTAATAGTATAACTCTGTTTTCGAGTCTCTAAATAAATATTGGAGCAAACCACTGTGTAGATATTTTTTATATCCTGACAATACAGTATTTTATTAAGACAGTAATAGTAGACATACCCAAAGCGTGTTTAAGTTGATTATTTTCCTCGACAAGTTGAATCATCGTATTTTTAGCAATGGCCAAGTCCTCCTTCATAAGAGCGTTGGTTGTGGTCAAACTTTCCACCTTTGCTTGCAAGTTGGCAACTGTGGCACTAGAAAAGTGTTTTTGTTTCAAAGAAATTTATAATGATGTAAAATATTTGATAATAACAATGCACAACTTAAAACTAAATATATTATAATATTTGAGAAAAATGTTTAAAAGATTCACCATTCCCAGATCCCATCACACATGGATCTGGTTTAATCTCTTCAAATTTATTTTTAAATTCTGCAAACAACTAGGATAAAAGAAGTTCTTGTACTATAATTTATGTTAAATAATATCTTTTTTTTATTTATAGACCTCAGGGATGCCACAAAATTGTCAGAGTTATTAGTGACTGACGCAATCATAATTATAAATATGACATCAACGAATTGCATTTGAAAGTAGTTACATTATTATCTGTACCGATATACGTAGCAAAATAAAGTTCCATTGGTACGGTGAAAGGAGTTTCTTACTTGAGATGTCTATTGAGCTCTTCTATATAGTTTTTCTGATCTAGCATTGTGTTGATGTGACGTTGTTTCGGCTCATTGTTCGCGTTGTTACCGTTCCCAGACGAATCGCTGGAAGAGTTGCTGCCGCGCAGGTACAGAGAGAAATCTATGACACCTTGCTGACTGTCCAAATCTTCTTCCTATGACAAATATGCTTCTTGGAGCTTATAAGACTACTAAAATAGCGAAAGACCAAGCAATGTCGAAAAAAAAAATTGTATATTGTAAACCGTTGGTTAAAGAACGTATATGTGAATAATCGCAAAAGTATCTTAAACATTCGGTAAATAGGCACGAATAAATTTACATTTTCATTACCTTGACACACAAATTACAGTCGACGACATTTAGTCCAACGAGTAAACCGGTGATAATGACGGCTTCTTCGTTCAACATGAGCGCGTGGGGTTCAAAGAACTCCTCGAGTGTCTCTTCTCGGTGTTCAAGTAGAATTCTAAGGTAATCTGCTAGCCTCTTCTGCATGAGGGCCAGCCTCAGCCAAGCTCTTGCGCGGCCCATAGCTGTCCTAATTAGAATATTTGAAACGTTTTTAATTTATGCTTCGAGCTTTTAAATTAAAACTTAAACACCATAAAGTTTAAAATCGTCATAATCGACTTATTAATGCTTCTGTGAGGGCAAAGTTCTTCTCTAATATACTACATAAGGGAAACCGACTATAATGCATCACGTGAACTTCATATGTTGAGTAGCAGACTGTAGTATACTAGTTGAAATTAATGACTGTGCTTTGCGAAATAGAGTTCGATACAATACATTTTCGGTCCATAGGTATAGGTATCCAGGACAAGTTTTTAACAAAATTGACTATTAATTGAGCAGGTTTAATCACTGCGCTATCGAGCTCTTTATAAAAATATATCGGCATAAAATAGGCTAAAATCTATAAGAAAACTGTTTCATACAAAAATTCGATAGAGTAAAAACTTACTTGACTGTTGGCAAATCTCTTATACTTGCTGTAATATCCGCCGCTTCTGGTGAATATTTTTCAACCATTTGAAGGATATCCCACAATTCTTTTTTTGGCCCGAGAAGTCCCTAAAAGATAAGGATTCAGCATTGGAAATATTGCTTTCAATATCTAAAACAATCACACACTATTACTTAAGGTAAAATTCGAACATTACTTTTTTTGGTTTTAATCCATGACGCATAACGTGTTCGAGGACAATAAAAAAATGGTGCAATGGCAAATGATCACTGTCCAACATTCTTCCATAGCGCAGAGATTGTTCAATCAGCTCCTTTACAATCAGCTTCGAGATATTCACGAGATTACTGCGCTCAATTACGACTGGGTCTCGTGCTACAATCAAATAATTCCAGTTCATATATGTACATCCATCTATGTAACCAACAATCTTGTTTAAATTACACATCCTGTTCATATTTTTATATTGTTAGATAAGTTTTAATGTCGAAAAGTTACCCATTAAAGAATGCATAGGATCACCGGGAGAAGTAATAACACCGGTGTCAGAAGGGCGGATGTAAGAATCTTGCATGTCCATATCATGTAGTTCCTTCAAACATAGCCACTCCCCGTCCACGGAAACGCGGAAGTTGCACAGATAAATGGTATCCTGGGCACCCGCCATGTCAGCGTCTGGGTTCCCGTCTTGATTAATTGCCGACGGAACGCCTAGTTCGGGCAAGGGATCTACCCCGTGTACGGCGGCAAGAGAACGCATAATAAAGCAGCAAATAAACTGGCAAGCGAAAAAGCAGACACTGTTGTGTGAATCTTGACCACTTCTATTTACGCATTGCAAACACGCAACACCCCCAAACAAATGGTAGCGCAGTTGAGTTTTGATGCCGCCGGGCTAATTATTTCACATCACAGTAAAAGGTAAACAGAGCCCCTCAAAATTGTTATGCTGGCAACTAGTAGTTTTATTTGTTTTAAGTGAATAAACGGCTTTTCCAGTACGTTCAGCACAAATATTGATTTCCCGTGGTACGGAATACCTGTTCGTGTAGGGGAAAAAAATCAATACGACGGCGAGACTGCTGCCATCTGTAGAACGTCTTTTGAAGCGATTGCTATAGACTACGCAAATTACAGTAGCTTTTATGTTAAGCTTTGAAGACTTGCGTGTTTAAAATACCTACAAAAAGATGTAGCTGAATGTAGCTATAAATAAAACCATTATTATTTTGTCTGAATGAGCCAACCCTTATAATTATCTCATTATTTTTAGGAATTAGAAATAATAATAAAATTAATTTATTCATTGTGCTAATCTATATATATCAAAGCAAAAGGTCACTCTAGGAGTTTCAAATTTTGCATGTGGATTCTTTTTAGGACATAGGTTTTTCACTCAGACGAGATTTTACGATATAGAGGACGAAAATAATTAGGGGACGAAAGTTTTTATGGAATTTTCTGGACTAAAAACTAGATCACGCGGGCGAACCCACTGGCGGTAGGCTAGTTTTTTATATATTTTTGAAGGCTAGTTTTTTATTATATTTAGATTTGTATTAGGTATTTTTTGTTTATGTAGTATTTAAAATTGATAAGTTCATAATTCTAAAATCAATTTTATTAAATTGAACAATACATTTTTCTACACATATTTTTAAGTTGTAAAAATTTCATTATGTTGTGACTTGGTTGTTAGTATGTACCTAAAAATAATGAAGACTACTCTATGTAGTATGCAACATTACTTGTTCAAGTACTAAGACTAAATAATACTATATAAAAAATAAATCTCAATGTGCTTTATAGATATATTAAAAAATTGTACAAAAACTTATATAGATTAATAACAATAATTGAATGCTCATTGATTGCTATGATATCCATAGCAAGCAACTTAAAATTGTACTTCTTTTAAGTATTTTGATAATGGTATTTCAATTTGGTATAACAATTAATAGTTTAGTATACTTTTGATTTTAGTCAATGAAACAAGTGTACATTTTTATACAAGTAATAGAAGAGAGCAGAGAAGGGGGGCAGTGCAGATACAGCATATATTATGATAATTAAACATAGAGATAACTCTGATCAAAAGACATTCTTACATAAAATAATGACGATAAAGGAGTTGAAACATTTTATTATTATATATGTTATGCACAAAGACTGTAACAGCTCATTGATGGAAAAAATAACTCATAACGTATTGTAGCAGTCACAGAAAGATCATATAGGGAAATTTGTGTCATGCTATTCAATTTCAAAGCCTTGCGGCAATGAAGAAAAGCCATAAACAATTTGATTTTCAATAATTTATCAATCAATGAGTTGATTTTTTTTTAAAACAAGTAACCCAAAAGTTATATTTTTTAATGTCACCATTTTTTTAAATTATATTTATTAATGATAAATATGTTTAGCAATTATTTCAATATTTTTGCATCAGCAAGGGCATTAAAACATTTTTTAAATCAATTTGTTGAATTATGTGATATGCAAAATCTGTGAAATGGGCAAGAAAACATGCAATGATTGCATTTGTTTATTATTTCATTATCATTAAGGTATTGAATGTAAACAATTGTGAAGTATAGCAAGGACTTTGTGTAGGTGTTGATAACTTAATGGCATAAAGGTTCTAAATCTAAGCCATATAAGTATAAATTGGATGTTTATTATTATTATGATTGGTAGAAACTATCTTGGTATAATATAGTGTTTCCAAGGTCACAGATTCAGATAAGATAATAGTTCATTATTTTGGTACTTTTTAATGTAATATTTTATTATTAAATGCGAGAATCTTGCAATGGCTATAATATAGAATTAATTAATTAAGGACGTTTTAAATCTAGTCGTTATAATAAAAAAGTTACAGAGTGTTTTAATTATCGGTGTTAAGTTTCTTACTATTGGGATTTGACTCGTCAAAAGTTTATTAAGTAGTAATAAATGATTTATGCATTGTATTGTTAGTGGTAATGCTTTTTTGAATGCACTTACTTTTCGAGCTGTAGAAATAGGAGTTATCCGGTCTGGAAATTAAAAGTTCCGGCCATTTGTCCTCTTTCGTAGATGTTACTGATGGAGATCGCTCGAAGAAGTGCGACTTTACTGACGAAGTGGAAGTCGCTGGAGATACTTCACAGTCTCTTTCTTTGGAAGAAGCCATAGTTTAATAACTATTTGATTATTCCACAAAACATTATACAAAAACAGCCACTACAGAATCAAAAAACACAATTTAGAATATGCTTAAAAAGTAAACGCGTCAATGTTTTGTCATGTCAAAATCTATTGACAGTTGACAGTTTGACATTGACAGTTATTTGTTTTGCTTTTGAAAAGCAAAGATATAACTGTTTCACTGACTCTGACGTGGTGTAGGGTTTTTTGTTTTTGTGAACCAAAATTCATAAAAATCTGAAAATAACAATAAAATATTACTTATTTTTGTGTTATCTCGTCTCGTTATATTTAACTGTCGAGTTATGTTTATTTAAGCATCTAATGTTAACTCAATAGAGGGTTCGCTAGGGTTCGGTTGTTACACGTAATTTTGACTTTAACTCTTGATAATTTTTACTCTTTTCTACATAGAGTTACTTTAATTATATTAATTTATTTAGTGAAAGTGATTGAGAAGATTAATTGTTTTGTCTTGGTATTGGTGAGTTCTGTATAAATTATCATCTGGTTTCCATCTGACCCCCCCGAATCCTTTCGTCTACTCTTTTAGCATTGTCTCCTTCTTTATTCCCACAATCTCAGTCAGGAATTAAAAGACGTAACGCGACTAATGAAGAGACTGAAGCTCCAGTCAAAAGAAACTATATTGGAGCCTGGACAGTCACAAACTGTTTCCTCATCTTCCAATTTATTCTTACACCCATCTTTTTCAAAAACTCAACATAAACTAATTTCAACTAATAAATTATGTCCTGATCATTCGCGCCAAAAGTCCATTAAACTCATGATGTCTCAAAACAATATCTCATTCCAGGAGGCAGCTGCAAACATTCCTCCTGTCAGGAGGTCATATTCAGATGTTGCCCAGACTCCTATATCTCCCCAACAAAATTCCCGTTTGTATCAAGAATCTGCTCAAAAATCAACATCTCCGATTTCCTACAGGAAAACAATCTTCCAACACCCAAGACCTAAGCCAACTTTGAGTAAAGGATATGATAAACAAGCTCACCAAAAATTATCTGCAACGATGGATCTTATTTGCCCAATAGATATTAATTATCTTTGTTAAGATGTAAAAAAGGGTATTCGGTTGGTAATTGCCTGGATACCTGGACATAGTGGGATTATTGGTAACAAAACTGCAGATTCTTGGGGGAAAGAGGATTCTTCTTATGGATCTAATATTACTTCCACGTTCTCACCTAGTTCAATCATGAACGTTAGATTGGCAAAACACTACGTTAAAAGCAGGCAAGAGCTACTTTGAAATTCAATCATTTATACCTAGCAGACCATGGTTTTTAGTATTTAAGGACATTCCAAAAAAAGTAATTTCCATCATTTTTCATCTTCGGATTGGTCGTTATTTTACCCTCCAATATTCCTCGCCCACTTAATAGCAACTTTGTTCTTCGGTCAATTAATGATGCCTCAGTAGTCAAATCACTAACTAAATTTGTCAGCGTTAATCAACTAGAACTTTAACGTCAATGGTGTTACATTTTGTTCACTTACTTTATCACAATTAAATTAAATTAAATTAAATGTAATAATGTTCTGTGGTAAGACTCAAAATGAATATGATTAAATGATTGTTTATATAAAATAATTCATTAATAACGTATTAAAATCATTTAACGTGTTGTTTTTGGTAAATCCATGTAGAAAGATAGAATCGGTAATTCAAAATTGTTTGGTTGAATGAATGTATTTAAATCATGTAATGGTCTCCTTAGTGAAGTTGGCAGTATTGTGGTGACGCAAAGGACCATTAAAGTTAAGAAGAAGAACTGGTTCATTCGGCTCTGCTCTGAGGTTTTGTGCTTGCAACGATTGTTGACATATTTTTCATGTTATTTGTGGCTGTTTTCCTTCTTTTCTTATCCTGTTGATTTATTGTAAGTGTTAATTTTAACTTAAATTAGTGGTGAATTAAGCAAATAGGTGTACGTAAGAAACAGCTTCAGTATTTTTTGTCGTGTTAATGTCAGAGTCAGAGCGATCAGAGTCTTAGTATATTCGTTACAGATATATGGGTTGGACTATCAAATCGAGAAAATATTATAGGGGTCTTTTTAGATGTATCAGCGTACAATAATGTATTGCTTCCACTACTCAGGCAAAAATTGCTTCAGCTGAGTATCCCCGTGGGGCAAGTTAGTATAATTTTTAATCTTCTATCGGCACATTCTATCCAGACATGTTTAAGAGATTCTCTTCTACCTCCACTAAATGTGTGGAAAGGCCTTCCGCAAGGTTTGGTTTTAAGTCCCATATGGTATAGTTTGTAAACATACGACTTTGAGCTGACCCTTAACTCATTTTGTTATTGAAGACAAACAGATAGCTCTCTGTGCCTTCCTAGATATTGAATGAGCATTCGACAACGTTACCACTGAGACCTTATCCAAAGGAATGAGGGACAAAGGGATCGACAACACAATGACCAAATGGATCGAAGCAATGCTCCTAAACAGAACAGTTAACGTTAGCCTGCACGGATCAACAAAAGTTTTCAAAACCACAAGAGGTTGTTCACAAGGCGGCGTCCTATCGCCACTGTTATGGTCCTTAGTGGTTGATCAACTGTTATTACAAGCCTTCAGAGGCTAATAGGCCTAATATACAAGACTAGGCAGATGACGTGGTAGCTTGCGTCATTGGTCCATGTCAAAGCACTGTATCATCTATAATACAGAGATCTCTGAACATCATCGACAAATGGTGCACAGAAAATAACCTATCGGTAAATCCGAATAAAACAACAATAGTCCCTTTTATCAGGAAGTGAAAGTTGGAAAACCTCAAAACGCTTATCTTAAAAGGGACCGTTATATCGTACTCCACGGAAGTCAAATACCTGGGCGTCACATTCTACCAAAAACTCACGTGGACGCGCCATATAAACAACATAACCCAAAAGGCTAAAACAGCCCTAGGTATTTGCTGTCGAGTAACTGGGGCAAAATGGGTAATAGAGGAATGGTCAGAGGCACACGAACTCTGTAAAACAGGAAGCCTAGTCTGGTTCACAGATGGCTCCAAAATGGGTCATAATGTAGGATGTGGAATATATGGTGTAAGACCGAATTTCAACAAAAGTGTGAATCTTGGGATAAACGCTACTATTTTCCAGGCTGAAATATACGCCATTTTAGAATGTGTGGAAGCTAATCGCCAACAAAACTACATAAATCAAACCATTTACATATACTCTGATAGTCAAGCAGCACTCAATGCCATACATTCGAGCGTGATAAATTCGAAACTGGTAAAGGACTGTATTGACAGATTGAATGAACTGGGGCAAAAGAATAAAATTATTCTCAAATGGGTACCAGGACACTCGGGCATCATCGGCAATGAAAAAGCGAATGAATTAGCAAGGGCTGTGGCACAGGGACTACAAATAGGACCAGAGCCCTTTTGCGGTATCCCTAAAAACCATGTGATGCAAATTCTAAAAAATGACCTGCAAAGGGATTCAAAAAAATACTGTCAAAAACAGCCGGGATAAAATCACGCTAAATCCCTAATTGAAGGTCATTCACAAAAACTAGCTGAAGAGCTCTTGAAGCTAAAGAGAGCAAATATAAGCTCAATTGTACGAGCCTTATCTGGACACTGCAAATTAAACAGACACCTATTTAACATGAAACTAAGTGACACTGACATTTGCAGATATTGCAAACAGGAACGTGAAACACCAAAACATCTCCTGTGTGAATGTGGACCACTGATCCACAAACGAAGCATACATCTGGGACGACATATAATCAGCCCAGAAGATATAAAATCTCTAAAAGCCAGGAATATAATAGACTTTTTGAAGTCTACCGGGCTAAAGGAGTTACTATAGATCTGGCGGCGAGTCACAATAGATCTTCAAGGTCGCAGTGACTACAGTTCCTCAGGGAACTGCATAGCCTCTTACAGCAATAAATAATAATCAAAATCAAATCAAAATCAAAATTATTTATTCAGTCTAGGCTGTTACAAGCACTTGTGAAAGTCGAGAGCTACGCCATCGGTTCGTAAATCTACGGCAGGAGACCTTGTACCGAGAAGAACCGGCAAGAAACTCGGCAAGGCCTGCTTTTTTCTCCCTGTTTTATTTCATACAGAGCGTCAAGATTGAAAAATGACTTCATTAAAATTTGAAGTCACTTTCCATTACAATATTACACAATATAAGAGTAAAACAGTATTTTCGTCAATCCAATCACATGTGTAGTAAAAGAAGCTCACCGATTAACAATTTAATTAAAAAATTATCCATATTTAACTCCAACTAGTTTTGTTGTTTAAATATTCATTAACAGTATAATATCCTTTACTGAGTAGACAATTCTTAATATGTGTTTTAAACTTGGGTAATGGTAAATTTAAAATTTCCATAGTAATTTTGTTATAGTAGTGTACACCTTGACCCATAAATGACGATAAAACCTTCTTTAGTCTGCATGACGGCAAAACAAGTTTATCTTTGTTTCTAGTATTAAAATTGTATACATGACTATGTTTGATATTATTGTTAATATTGTTTCTAACATAAAGTATACAATTGTATATGAATTGGGAGGCCACTGTTAATATCCCAATTTCTTTGAATTTATCTCTAAGTGATGTTCTTGAACCCAATTGATAAATGGCCTTTACTGCTCTATTTTCTATAATATAAAAATGAATCGCAAAATGTGTTGGTAAGCGCATAACTCAACAACGCCTCGACCAATTTGGCCAAATCTTTTTTTAAAATGTTCGTTGAAGTTCAAGGATGGTTTTTACGGCGAGAAAAATAGAATTATTGCTGGAAAAACCCTAAAAATAGCCCTTTTCTTTTTCCCATACAAATGATTTGTAACTAAAACGTAGTCAATTTGAGCTTTATTGCTATGGTATAAAGTTCATATTAAATTACAAGCACTCACTGTTGTCTAAGCAATGTAGGTGTGTTCCTAACGTCAAAGATCATATCTATCAAAACAATGTGCGTGTGTGCGTTGGAGCACAGAATACGAGATAAAATGCATCAGAATTTTTTTAAATACGTAGGCAAAAAAACTGCCACATTACAAATCTTTTTGACAGGACGAA